TAAATGACTGCAAGTAGAAGAGCGGATATAGATCTTGGTAAACGCTTAGGTCTAAGTAGTAACCATAGGGATTCAATGGCTGGATCCTCGAAATGCTCAAGCCTCCTACAGTAAATTTCTTCTTTAATATAAATGCAAACGCCGCCACCGCAGGAGTATGTGCGATCATTTCTGAATTGGATGAAGTTCGATAACGAAATCATTGAGTCCACAACAGAGGTGTTAAGCCAAGATTCAGTGATACATATGACCTCAACTTGGTTAATTTGAGCTACCAACTCTAGTTCGTCTATTTTATTAATTATAGAACGGACATTGGCCACCAGTAGGGTAGGGAGCGGGAAATTGTTATCACGAGCTACATACGACGTGGAAATGGTGGGCGTGTTGGCCAGGGGTTGGGGTAACCATGGCCTCGGAGGGTAATTTGGGGGATACTGCTTGTTCGTTATGTCGCGTGGGCGCAGAGGGTAATTTGGGGGATACTGCTCGTTCGTTTTGTCGCGTGGGCGATGTAAATACTGAGGGGAATGAACTGGGGTCACCATTAGTGGTCGTGGATACATTGATTTTGGTGGAGGGAACAGCGGTTGAGACACTGAATACCGGTGATAAGGGGGGTGAGGCATTTGAGCATACTCGAGACTCTGTAATCTTGTTTCGAGTTGGCGCATCAAAGTCGGAATATTTTGTAGGTCGTGACTTCCTAAAAAAGGTTGTAATTGGGGGCATTGTAAGTTATCATTTGTTACCGGATGATTTCCAGTTGGACACGAATAGGGTTCGACATGGGAAAAATCACATCTGGATTCTTTCAAACAATAGCCCTTCTTACGTAGAAACGGACAAAATATGGAGCCTTTTTTATCGTTGGAATGCTGGCGAGCTTGATCATTATTAACCATATTTCGATGAGAAAAGTCGCACTGTTCACCTTTTAAGCACCAACCACGCCGCAAAATAAACAGACAAGGCGTTTCATTTTTGGGAACTTGCATCACTCTGGTTGTCGGTAAGTTTGCATCGCTCACATTTGGGACAGGGACATTAACTTCTACATCAAGAGAACTTTTGGGCATTAAGTCTGCATTACTCGCAGGTGGGACAGGAACAACATCACTCACAAGTGGGGAAGGGACATTAGCATTGATATTAAGAGAACTTTTTGGCGAACTACAAATCGTCTTACAATTTTCAGATGGTTGATTTTCGTTGGTAGACTGATCATTATTCGAGTGCGTGGGTAATAGTATTTCGCAATTACTCTTTCCAACATCATTATTGGACCCTTGGGGATTTACTTTCGCAGTGCATTGTATCTGGCTATCAAGATCAAGTGAAGCGTTCAATTGAGGATTAACATCACTGCTCTGGCTTTGGTATTGCTTTCTGCCGTTGGCTACTATGTTTTCTGGTCAAAGTTCTGTGTTAGACAGCCATTCCCGACCATTCCACCACAACTCTGCGTTGTCTACTTGGCCTCCTCTACTTACATGGTCAGCAGGGTTGAAAGCTGAGGGCACGTGTCGCCACACAACTCCTTGGTGCTCGTTGATCTTGTTAATCCAGTTTGCCACGAATTGTTTTTACTCGCCGCCCCCTGTAATCCAATGCAGAACTACCGAGCTGTCCGACCGACATTGAACTTTCGTAACTGGAAATTTATCAATGCCTCCTTTACATTTGAGGCCAAGTTGACTGCCATGTGCGCCGCTACCAGTTCAAGCTTCGGAATAGTTAATCCTCGTTTCGATAGTCTTTGATCTCGCCGCGGCTAGGCTTGGTTGGTCCCCAAGTCTTGCTCAACTACGGCATAGACGCATGCCACAACCCCGTTACCGCTTGCATCTCCAAAGGAATGTAGTTGGATGGCTTCAATTTGCTCTTGATAAACTGCTAAAGATCTCTCAGTTTCCACTAGTACTGGAAATTCACTGTTCCACTTGTTCCACAACTTTGCGAGCGTTTCTGGAAGTGGCATGGTCCATCCCAGCCGTTCTTGGTGTCACATGCTGCACGGTAGATAAGTTTACCCGTAAGCGTTAGAGGAGATATGAAGCCTAAAGGGTCATATATCTTGGCGAGCTTTGCCAAGATGCCTCGTTTGGTGAACACCGTCTTTTCAGTGGTGGTCCCTAACAGCTATTTTGCATAGGTAGGATCACCGCCTTGAGACTGTGTCGTCCCTAATTTACGCTTATTCGAGTGCCATTTGTGAAGCTTATACCCCGAATCCTCGAAAATAGTTGTTGCTTCCTCTTTAACTTCTTCCGTCTTCGATACTGATGTTGACCCCGTTATCAAATCGTTCACGTATGACTCTTCACGAAGTTTTGCTATCTCTTCCGGTTCTCTTCCCAGTTACTCAGGTGTGCACCAATGACTCCCCCGAACAAGAAGGGAGATGACACAAGCCCGAAAAGTGCCCTGATAAATCGCAAAGTCTCTAGTTCTGATTGCTGATCTTTACGCCAGTGAAATCGAAGCGCGCCGGATGCAGACACCCATTCAACGATGGAACACCGTTATGTGCTTTTGCAGAAGCGTTATTGAAGACTCGGATTTTTGTGGATTCTGCATCAGGTCGAATAACTGCTTTATGAGGGATGTAGAATTCTCTTCCTACGCTACGCTGTTCAGCTTTCTCAATTATCCCCTCTGCCTTTTGTTCCTCCATTATCTTCCCGTATTTGGTTGTCAAACCTTGGCGCTCGAGTCTGTTCGTTAAACTTGCTAGTCTATTAGTTTCGTTGTTGGGTAATACAGGATGGTTGCCGCGCCACGGTAGCCCTGTTTCTTACCATCCAGCTGGGTCCCGGGTGAGTTGTTCTTTGAACTTGTCAAATACACTGCTGGTCGTTGGTGGGTGTATCTTTCAAACCCAAGACATCCAGGCGACACAGTTCTTCGTAATCAGCCTGGGATGTCTGAGCATAGTCACAAGCATATTGGTTACGTCACAGGATTCTTTTCCGGAGGACATGATGGTCCATCCAAACTGTCAACTCAGCTACAGGTTGCCCCGATTGGCCAAATCTATGTGGCTGATCAGTTTTCAACCTTGCGCGTAGTCGCTTGCTCCGAGAATGATGTGTACCGCAAGCCGCGCTTTCTGATCAATGTTTTCCATGATGACTCCTTTACTATCTTGTTCTGATATCTCGGATTGTCCATGAACACAAGTTCTCCTTTGTTCACCTTGGCGACTTCGACTTTCATAGAATATTTACCCGATGTTCCCTTGATCTCAATGGTTGACAATTGGTAGGATTTGTTCCTGAAATTACCGGTAGATTGGTGATATTTACTATACAGTATATGCATTCGCAACTTCAGCTGACTGTCCGCATTCGGTTCCGAGAATATATTTGACTTTTGAATATCCCACTTCGTCAATGTCACAACGTACAGACTCGTCAAGTAATTCCATTAATAAGTAGGCAAACTTTGTTTAAGGTTGGTATTTTCGTTGATAAGATTTCCGACGTAAATTTTTCCCAAAACGGTAGCCATGATTCGAATTTGCCGTCAAATTTTGTTGTAACTTTGGTAATTTAGCGCCAGAATTTTGTTTACATTGTTCGCTATTTTCTACTTCGCTTGCTTTTTCGTTCTCAAATTCAGCCTTTGCTGGAGTAATTCTCGCTAAGTTCAAGGTTTTTCTTACGATAGTCTTGTACTGTCTTCTCGCGTTGTTCTCGGCGATCGATTTCTTTAATTTGTTGAGTCAATCTTCGTACATTTTCGTCCGCTATAACAAGTTCGTCTTCGTATTCTTCAGCCCATTCTGCGACGTCTTCTTCGCTCTCGCCCTTGGAAAATTTCTTTTCTTCTATGGTTTCTTTAAGATTGATTATCGCTTTGGTGACATTCTCAATAGATTCTTGCTGACGCTCAGACGCTTATCGGTCTTGTTTAGTCATTATTTGTTCGGCTTCCACGTTCGCTCGCGAGGTCGTTTAGTTGTTCATCCATATTATAGTCAAGACTATATAAAATATATTATTTCACGATGTTGATTCTTCCCAACAAACACGCGATTTTTTGCTCTTGATTCGAGCTAAATCACGATTTATCCCGTTCGGAGGTGCCACTTAGACTTGTTCCAAATCACTCTTCATTGTCATACGTGTATAGTATCGATCCACTATAGTGTACATTACATGACGTAGTACGGAGGGGCGGAGCGAGAAAGAGAGACTTGTCAACTTCGGAAAATCTCGGTTCAAAACTGAACCGAAAATGCAAG